TTTTGCACTCCTTTTTTTTTCTTTCTTATTTTTCTTTTCTTTTTTCTCTTTTATCTTTTTCTCTTCTTTCCTCCTTATCCCCTAATTCTCTTAATTCGGGTGGTCACCTTTATTTGGGGTTATTAATATCGTGAATATATTTGTGTTCAGTGCCTGGTACGTTGTGCCTTGTTGTGTTGTATTTTGTGCCTTTAAATCAACGCAGCAGATCCAAGCAACAGCAGCCTCCTGATCACCACACCCTCTGTCTGAGGAACAGCAGCTGTACGTGAAGCCTCCCCCCACCAGCCAGAAGAGCCACCACAGCTGTGAACAACACCCACCAGAGGAGCTGCTGCCAACTGAGGAGCAGCTGCTACCGCAACCACCCAAGGAGCAACCACAGCCCAAGGAGCCACTGCCACCCAGGGAGCAGCCACTGAAAGACTCAACATCTAGATATGTCCCTAAGATCAAACATGGGTAGACAAAGAAACCCCCAAAGGAAAGAAAAGGAGGACTCTCCAGAAAAGCAGCTAAGTGATACAGAGGCATGCAACATGACAGAAAAAAATTCAGAATAAGGGTCCTAGAGTGCATAAACCGGATGGAGGAAAAAATCAACAGCTTCTGCAAGAAGCAAGAAGAAACAGATAAAAAAGTCAACTACCAATGCAAGAAGCAAGAAGAAACAGATGAAAAAATCAATAACATATGCAAGAAGCTAGAAGAAACAAATGAAAAAATCAACAACTTAAGTAAGACCCAAGAAGAAATGAAGAGCGATATAGCTGCAATAAAAAACACTACTGAAAGCATCAACAGTAGACTAGGAGAAGTGGAGGACCGAATTAGTGAATTAGAAGACAAGGAAGCAAAACACACCCAGAATGTACTGCAATTGGAGAAAAAAATTAAAAGGACCATTGATCCAGACCAACTCAATATGACTTTATGAGTGCAGGAACCACGGATTTTAGTCCTGACATTCTCTCATGTATAATGCCTGACTGGTAGGGTAGGTGCTTTGTGTTTGGACAAACTTCATGAACAGACCATCTGCAATCAAAACTGCTGATCCAGCATGGCTCAGTGGTTGAGCAATGACCTATGACCCAGAAGACCAGGGTTCGATTCCTGGTCAGGGCACATGCCCGGGTTGCAGGCTCGGATCCCCAGTGTGGGGCGTGCAGGAAGGAGTCAAGCAAGAATTCTTTCACATCATTGATGTTTCTATCTTTTTCTCCTTCTCTCTTCCTCTTTGAAATCAATAAAAAATACATTTTTTAAAATGACTGACCCAGAGGAAGAGATTCTTCCGAGTCATCTTGTGACAACTCACAAATTTGCCAATTGTCCTTCTCCCATATCCTATATAAAAAAAGCCTAATATGCTAATTGTCTGGTCATCCGTTCAACCAAAGTGTAATATGCTAGTGATATGCTAAGGCCGCTCAACCGCTCACTATAACATGCACTGACCACCAGGGGGCAGACACTCCAACCAGTAGGTTAGCTTGCTGCTGGGGTCCAGCAAATTGGGACTGAGCAAGATGGGCTGGACACACCCTGGAGCCCTCCTGCGGTCCCTCCCTGGCTGGCCAGCCTCCCGCATCCCTCCCAGCCTCAATCATGCACCAGTGGGGTCCCTTGGCCTGGCCTGTGCCCTCTCGCAATCTGGGACCCCTTGGGGGATGTCGGAGAGCCTGACATTGGGGGATGTCGGAGAGCCTGGACATTCAGTTGCATGACATTCAGTTTTGGCCTGATCCCACAGGCCAGGCCAAGGGACCCTACTGGTGTATGAATTCGTGCACCGGGCCTCTAGTTCAATCTATAAAGGGCATAAAGCACTTCCCTCCTGTTAGCTTGTAGGCACAAAGGCAGGGACCACAGTCCCTTTGTCATATTTATTCTCTGAGTGCCACAGCTACATCAGGCAAGTGGAGTCTAATAAATAGCTGTTCCCAGTTAAACTCCACAGCATTTTCCCACTGGTCTTAACATCTGGGCTCCTCACTGAGGCCTGCAAGTCCTGACGTGTGTGATTCTTTTCTAGCCCCATCTCCAACCAACTTCCCTTCCCTCTACCTCTTCTTCTAAGAAGCTCTCCCATAGTTTTTCCATGGAGATCCCTACTCATACTACCCCACTGCCTTCATAACACTGATCACAATCCACATACACTACTTATATGCTTATTTATCAGCACATCCCAGGAACACATGGACCTTGTCTGTCTTCTTTCCCCTGTGTGCCCTCAACACTATGTCCAGTATAGTCCATGTTCAATGAATATTCGTTCAATGAAAATTATGTACACTAAAGCCTTTGTTAAAGTCTACTCATTACAAAACAAATACATGTTTTCTAGATAATATTCTACAACAAAATTATGTTTTGAGTTTTTCTCACAGTTAAGAGATCACCACTTGGTGTGGGATACTGCAGGCAACTATGAAGGGGGCTGGTAAACACTTGGGGCTCTGGAATGCTGCACCATAGGTTTTTCCAAATTCTGTTTTTTGTTTTGTTTTAAATTGCAAGACTGGCTCTAGAAATCCCAAAACTGTTATCCATAGAATAATGATAAATATTGTCTAGAAATGCTCTCAGACTAATCTAGAGGGTCACACATTTCTTTGTTAAGATTAAGCAACTCAGAATCCAGCAAAGTTGCAAGACTTGCCAGGCCAAATGTCCCAGTGTCCTGGTGAGGCCTTGAGCTCGGGTGTGCTGACCCTGCAGTCATTGTTTTACCAAATGCTGCTTTTCTCTTTGGAGTAGACCCCAATTGTTTGGTCCCCCCAAATGCTGTTAAGTATGCACCAAGAGCTGGTAAGCAGGGTTCAGATTTGGGAAGCTTGCATATGGCCATGTTTTCTATCCTCCTGCGCTGGTGGGAAGTGCCACACAGGAGAAGCAGAATACTTCTCTCCAAAAGCTGGGATTCCAGAGCTTCTGTTCGGTAGGGTTAAGAAGGTTCAATTAGGGGTTAATAAGGATAAAGCACACTTTTCCAAACTAATCCATTTGGGGTGAATTCCTATACCCAAATCCACTCTCTTGAGATCTTCCATATCCATCAATGTAAATAAGAACTTACAAGCCAGGTCCAGTAAAACCCTACTAGAGAATAAGCTGGACATTCAGTTACATTAAGACAGATCCAGGGGTTGAATGGGCAGTAGCTGAAACCTGGATGCTCCTGCCTTTTATATAAAAACCTCTATCTACCAATAGCCACCCTTCTTAAGCAGGGAAACACACAATTAGGCTTGGACTTACCTTTCACAGCCTTCCTACATCCACGCACAATAGAACCAGCAATCAAGATGCAAGCATGGCTGAATAGAGTGTGTTCAGGAACAGAGAGAGTAAGGGAGGTGGAGAAAACAACCAGCAAGTATATCTTTGCCAGCCAAGTTCACTGAGTGATCCAGAGAAGTAAAGTAATTTGTCCAAGGTCACACAACAAGTTAACTTTGGTCTGAGACTAAAACTCAAGGTTCTATCACAATACAAATCAATACCATATTGACATAATGTTATGCATAAGTTCCAGTTACATTGAATATCTTTGTCTAAATCCACATTCACTTTGGAATGCTATTCTTTTAGCCTGTATTTGGAAACTTATTCATATAAAGTTCTTCAAAGGAATAAAGCCCTCTACTCCAATCAAATTACAAAGGGGCACAGTTAAGTTGTAACACCAATCAGTCAGACACCTCATCTGAGCTCACTTCTCATTGTAACAGGTTCTTCCAGAATGCCTTCTATAAAGACTTACAATGGACAATACAGTTGCTAGGACAAGTCCTTACCTGGGTGCTCACAGCTCAGACTTGCAGCAATACAGACACAGAGCTGCCTCTAATTACTCTTTCAACTGAGAAATGAATAAAAGCGTATCATTTCAGTGCTGATCACGGAACTCTTGAAGAAAGTTTCTAATGAGAAGTGACATAGTAGACCTTTAGCAGCTTCACATATACAAACTTAGTAAGAAAATTGATCAGGAAAGACTGGAAAGGAAGTTGGTTGACCTGCTCAGGTCCAAACTCCATCACCAATTCCCATGGCTTCCAGTATTCTTTCACACCCCTCACCTGTGCTGAGGCCTATATGGCACCTATGAGGCAATTTGTTTTCTGGTCCAATAGCTCTGCATTCAGTAACAGCAAACCATGATCTTAATGAAGACCTGTGTAGGGCTTTGCTTGAAATCCATATAGCTTAAAATATAAATCCCAAATTAGTTAAGTATCCTTTTCTCATTTCACCCAAGGGCATGTTTTCCATTTCCTCCTCCCTTTCAATAAGGGGGGGAGGGGGGGACTCTCAGGCTGGCCTTTCAGATGCTCCACATTTCTAAGATCCACTGAAAGTAAGTTTTGAGACACTACAATGAGGGGGGATAAAGTTATTAAAGATAAAATAAGCCATTGATATAAATGGGAGTTGCTCTAATAGGTCTCTATTGTGCAACCGTCTCAACTGCTGGAGATTTCTAAGAGGTCTTAATGCTTCTTTGAGTCACCCAAGATTTATAGGACTAAGAACACTTTTCGACTACTGTTGCAAAGAACTGGTTTACTCAGCATCCATAAAACCTTATAAATTTTATATCAATATTTAAAAAATGCAGCAGGAAGGCAATCATTATTTGTTCTTTGCATTTATTTATTTAACACTTAATAAATACCTACAATGAACCAGGAATGAAACTTTGTTTTAAAAATTCAAAACTGTAAAATATGGCCCCAAAGTGTGAGATTACAAAAAACAGCCAGAAAGTATTGAAATCATTCACTCCCAAAATTCTGCTTTGCAGCTCAGCTGAGGATCAAAATCCCCAGAACCAAGGAAAACCCCAAGATGGAGAAGCTCCTGCCAATGCCCAAGGAAGAAGCTCATGAGTCCAGCCCAGGACAGAGCAGATGATAGCCCAGGCTCTGACCTCATGCAGTAAGGCATGGGAGCACATCTTGATCTTGGTAGGATCTCCCAGCTTGCCCTCCAATTTGGTTTTGAATCCCTGACTTCTTTCTCTTTTCCCAGTTAAGAATAAAGTAAAATAAACCAAAAATACTCATTGGAATATATACTTATTCTCCCAGTGACTTTGTTGTTTAAGTCAAGTCTAAATTAAACAAATTGTGTGGTTTTCTTCATCCTTCATTAGTGATGAAAACTGTGCATTCAAAACTACATTAAGACAATGTATTCCTAAAGAGTAATCCAGCTTTAATTATAGTGCATTGAATCACCTTGCAAACAAACCATTCACTACCAGTACTGTACTTGTACTGTTGTTGTAGGGTTTTGTTTTTTTATATTTTGTTGTTGTTTTTTTGGCAAACTTAGAACAAACCAGAGAACAAAATGTTGTCTTCATCATCATGTAGAAAAATAAAACAAACCTAAAGTATTTAGCTATGTGTCAAGTGATTCATACTGCAAAGTAAAATCTACACTTACAGCAGAGCTTAAAAATTCTTAGTGCAAGAAACATAACCAATTAATACAGATCAATACTTATTAATGATATGGAAAATTTTCCTATACAGAGGTAGAGTCCAGTGCACAAGGCTAAAACAATATTCAATAGTCTAAACAAAGAGTGAGCCAGGTTTTACGGGATTCACTTTAAATTTTAAGTTATCAGACTGTATGTACATACAATATATAGACTATACAATTTTTAAAGTAGTTTAATAAACTCCACAAAATAATAGTAGATGCATTGAAATATTTACATAATTCAATTTTCAAATCTCATTCAAATAAAAGGGATAAAAATAAGATTTCTGCTTTAAAGGCAGCAGAACCTCTTTCTTGAAATGGATTGGTAAAATAAGATACTTTACATGAGAGGAACTAATTTATGCTTGAGAGGTATTCATATTCAGCTAAGAAAATATGTCCCTTTTTAAGCTCTATAGAATAGGGAATATAAAATGATTATTTTCTCTATTTTTAGATCTCTAAAGTTCTAAATCAGACTCTTACTTGAAGAGAGAAGCTGATTTTGGACCCATACAAAGTATATCAATACAATTACAATGGAAAAATAATTAACTTTTCCTTTTCTGCTTCCTTGCTTTTGAAAGTTAGGTCAGGAAGAACTTGACAATATATCTGGCCCGGTTATGTTTACCCATGACACAAATTTCATTGAAACCTGACTAGTACTTTCAGCTTGGTATTCTTGGGATTTCAACTTTCTGAATTCCTTTAATTTCCAAAGGGTATTCAAGACTAATAATATAAGATTCCAAAGTTTTCCAAGCTCACATAAAAGGAAGGTGAAACAGAGTACCTGCTGCCATTCACCTCAGAGACTTGAGAAAGGAAAAAAGTTAGACCCTCTTGTCATTGTGACACAAGAAAATATGCAAAAACCCAAAGCATTATATGCTTCATTGACTCAGATTCTTAAGACTTAATACCAAATTTACTCTTTGATATTTGATCAACCCTTTTGATATAAAAGATTATTTTCTAAAGAAATAGTCAGAAAACAAAAAAGTACATCATAATTAATGAAGCATAAACCTTCACAGTTTGAATTTTGTGTAACTTCTCTAAGCACCCACAATGAAAATGCAAGTGTTGTGGTTTTTTTTTATTCAATCATTCTGTGAAAAATATCTCAGCAAATAGTAACATTTTGCCCTCCAATAATCTCCCCACTGGACTACCCACCCCACCCCCGTTTTTTAATTTTAAATTTTTAAAAAAATTTATACAAATAGACTAACTTTGATTTAAAATAAACATATAAAAATTGATAAGAATATTGCTTGCAACAATGGATGCAGAAGTAGAGGAACAAACTGGGCAGGGAGTACAAAGAAATGGCTCCTACTCAATAACTTCAGGCAAACACCAAGCAATCTGGAAAAAAATCTCAACCAAGGACAGCTTCTACTGCACATTGTTTCCTTGGCCCACGAGGTTTGATTGATTTATAACTACAACTTCAGGTCAGATTAAAAAAAACAACTGCATGAAAATTGGAAGGCACAAGCACCCATGTTATCTAGAATTTTTTTTTGGGGGGGAGGTTAGGAATAAAGAAGGAAAGGGATACTTTTGGTTCAGCACTATTGTCAAGTTAATTTTGCCATTGTTGAAGAAAAAGTGTATAAAATAAAGTGGTAGAGAAATGTAACAAGTGCATTCCACTTGTGAGGAAGAAAGCTCAGGAGACAGCTCGCAGGAATAGAGCAGAGAGAAACAACCAGTACTATTTATTTGGATGTCTGTGCCATGGTACAAACTATATTCTCTGCTCTGTGGGGCCAAAACCAAAACAGAATAAAAACCAACAAAAATCCCCCAAATTCCCAAATAGCAGTTAGAAGGGATGCAAGAAGTCTTAAAGAACAGACTGATCCAGACAGAGGTGATAAAGGCAGCACTCTTGTCTTTAATGAACATCTAACTGTGTTAACTACTGTTGTTTTCCGTCATATTCACCTACTGACCAGATGGGGGACTTAAGAAATGGCCATGTCATTAGCCATTTTTCCTGCTTCTACACAACTTTCCTTTCCCTTTACTTCCTCCTCCAGGATTCGAGTCTTTATCTTCCAAGAAGGAAGTGCTGTTAATGATGACAGGGCAAGGTGTGAAACAGGATTTCCAGAATACTGATTTTGCTTCCCTCAAAGCCTTGCTGCATGTGGGCCACACAGCTCAAAGGCAGTCATCGAAGCAGCCTGATGGAGTTATGACTTTAACAAAACCAAAAAAGGGAAACAAAAACAAAACCATCCCAAGTCTGTCTTTTCTCAAACTAAAGGAGAAACTGAGGGATGGTACAGCCTCCAGTGGGGACGCCCAGTTAGGAGATGATGGCCGGGGACCACCTAGGCAGAGTCAGATTGTCAGCACTCGCTGACCGCTTCCTTGTGGGTCTCCTCAGGTCCTTGTACTTGTCCTCACAGAGGCGAGAGATGGCCTGAGGGGCAGAAGAGAGACAATTCAGGTCAGGGCTGGACCCTGAAGTTCCCTCCTTGCACTCACTCACCAGACACCAAGCACTGCTTGAGCAGCATCCTTCTAGGCACTGAAGACACACATGAACAAAAAACCAGGAAGAGGCCCTGCCCACGTGGTTCACATCCCACAGCAAAGAACTGTGGCACAGGGCAGGATACGAAGAAAGTGTAGACAGTCCCTGTTTCCAAAGTGCTTACAGTAGCCTAGGGTCAGCCAGATCCAAGTTCAATGCTGGTTCCCCACTTAGGGGTGTGTGAGCTGGGTATGTGCCCCCATTTAAGTTCTTAGCATCCTTGTCTGCAAGTGGGGCCATCACAGCGCCCTCCTCACAGGGTGGCTATGAAGCACTGGAGCTCCATGCTGGATGTGTGCATGAGGAGTGCAGTAGTTGGCCATGATCATTAATCAGAGACTAAGTCAGAGCAGAAGGGAGTCATCTCTGGACCACTGCTGCAGAAGGGAACCAGAGGGGGCACAGAAACATGGGATGCAAATATAATCAACATTGGCTTCATTTTGTTGATGAGGGCAGTAGGACTCTAGGCAGAGGGCTGCAGCTAAAAGTAGGGCCAGGCCTGCATTGGGGCTGAAGTATAGTCATAGCTCTCGAAAGGGCTCATACCACCCCAGGAAGCTTGTTTAAGACACATTCACCTGCCATCTGTATGATGATGCAGTGATGAGGGTGACATTACTAAGCAAAGAAGAAGTTTTTTAACTTCTACACAATTCCAGAGAAAGGCTGGGGACTGTGCCAGGGCTAGGGGGACAGACACAGTGTTCATCCACCAGGAAGTCACAGTCAAGGGAAAAGCACAAAAGCAGCCACCCACTTCTCACCCTGTGCCCTGATCAGATCCCACTGGCTCTTGCTAAGACTGCAGAATAATCTTTGAAGTTGGTCTCCCTGCTTGCCCTTCTCTCCCTGATGCATTCCCCAATGCTTTGAGTCACTTTGCCTACCCTAACCCCTGGCCTCCCCACTGGCTTCCACCACAGGCACTGCACCAGCTCCTCCCTCAGCCTGGAAGTGTCTGCAAAGTCAAGTCTTTGTACAAACATCATCTATTCAATTAGGCTCTGACTACTGCACCCCTACCCTGCTCTCCTCTTTATAATTAACCTTCTAACACAGGGGTGTGGAACATGCAGCTATAAGGCCCACAAAATCATTTGGTCTGGCCCTGCCAAGGCATTAGGAGTGAATTAATTAAATGTTTGATCAAATGTAGCAGGCTAATTTTTAAGCTGATAATTTTGCATGACCTGCAAATGATGCTGTAAATATCCACATGCCCCTTGGCAGAAAAAAGATTCCCCACCCCTGTTCTAACATATTAGTTATTTCAAATTTTATTTATTTATTATGTTTATTGTTCACTGTTTGTCTCCTCCCAGCAGAATGCAAACTGTAAGAGCAGGCTCTATGAGCTTTGTTCATGACCATTCTCAGGGCAGAGCTGTAACCAGCACCTGATATCAGAGGGCCCTGAGTAAATATGTGTCGAACGGATATATAAGTTCCACTCAAGATATGCACGTAACAGAGGCATGGACATAACAAAGGAATGGTCAAAGTACTAAAAATAGAGGGGACTAAGCAATTGATTCTATTTTGGGGAATCCATGAAGGGACACTCATGACTGATAATGGACATCAGACCTAGGCTTCAAGGGCTGTGCTTGGAGGGGAAGAGGAATTTATCAGGAGGGATCTGGCATTTTAAGCAAGGCAGTGTGCTGGCATGGTGAGAGGTAGCTGATGGCTTGGGGAAGGCAACCAGCAGGCAGCAGGGGATGGAGAGAGCAGAGCTGACAGAGCAAGGCTGACACGGCTGCTCACACACTGGCTGGCTAAGGCGTTATTTTGTGGTGATGCAAAACTGCCAGCGATTTTATGAATTTACGTTCCAGCCCTAGATGGTCTTGCTCAGTGGGTAGAGGGTCAGCCTGCAGACTGAAGGGTCCCTTGATTCCATCAAGGGCATGTACCTTAGTTGCAGGCTCAATCCCAGGTCCTGGTTGGGGCACGTGTGGGAAGCAACCAATCGATGTCTCTCTCACATTGATGTTTCTCTATCTCTGTCTCTACCTCTCCCTTCCACTCTCTCTGGAAATCAATGGAAAAATATCTTCAGGTGAGGATTAACAAAAAAAGAAAAAAAAGAATTAATGTTCCACAACCTACAACTGCATTTTAGAAAAGCAACTCCACTGGCAGCATGGAGGGTGGAATGGAGGAGAGACAGGAGTCAAGGATGTCTTCCTCCAAATGAGAGATGAATTAGGGTAGCAAGTGGGCTGTAATACTGAGAATTCATTTTAAATGTTTCATATATGAAATATATGTGGCATACTTAAAGAAGAGAAAATCAGATTCCTTAAGGGCATTTGAACAACCATTTTTTAAAGCAAATTATTTTCTTTATTGTTTTATTTGTTGTTTCTCAGCTTATAAACAGCATGAGTCTGAATGCAATATCATAACAAATTAGCAATGTGTTATTTCATTCTAGATTTTATTATGCAAACTGATATTATCTTTAATCACATCCTCCATATGCATAGAGGGATACTAATTTATTTCAGAGAGAAATGACCTGCTAATGAAAAGACCACTTTGCATTTGCCCTGGTTCCTGGTGCTCCTATTTCTACACTCTATGCTGCAACCAGCATATCAAAATAGCCAGCTGGTGGGACATCTGAACCGGCACAAAACTTCAGGTTATGGCATCACCTCTGAGGTCTCAGTCTGCTTTCTATTATGGGGTTCAAGTGTGCTAACCAAATGGACTAACAGGAACGCTGGGGTCTGGAAAACAATGAAACCCCATTCCTAAGAAATTATTTCAAAGGGGTGCCATCTGCTTTCCCAGAGCTGGCTTCTCTGTGTCTCAGGAGGAGAGGGAGGGAACATTTTGTCAGATTACTGGCCTTCCTCCTGCCCCTGGGGCATTTGGCATGGCCACACCAGGAGCAGGTGAGTTCTCCTCTCTTTCCACTCAGATAAGCTAATGGAGTGAAAAGAAGTAGGCACGACTCCCTCAGTCTCAGCCAGTCTATGTGCTCCCCATTTAACTGACCTGAACCATTAAATATTCTCACTCAGAGAACCACAGCTCTGCTTTCCTTCAGGGTTGAGTGGCTCCCAGGAGCTCCAAGCTCTTCTCCTCACCTCGGCACTGAAGGAGTGACTGAGCCCATCTCAGCACACGAGGGGTATGAGGACCACTGCGCATACTGAAACAGCGTTCATGTTCACCCTGATATCAAATTCTACTTCATGTGTGTGCTTGTGAAGGTTTGACAGTATGTGCCTTGGAGCAAGTCCTTCAGAGTCCTATCTTATGTTCTTGAATACAAGAGAAATGGGAGATTTAATGAGCAGTTCCACTCTAAAGGCTGGTACATAATGACAGAAAAGTGACCAAGTTCTGAAAACCTCCCTGGATTTTTATTTTAAAACCAATGCTATGCATCCAGTCTTTTCCAAATTTAGTTTTATTACGTTTCCTTTTAGGAATTAGCATTATTTACTTTTTAAATTTTTATGTTAAGTTTTTGCTTTCTTAAGCTTGAAATCCATAGCTTAATCCAAACCCTCTTCCTCCCACCTCTAGACCTTATTTTGTTTTCAGCCGTTAACCCTGTTAGACCATCACTCTGGCCATCTTGACCCAGTACTGGCCAGGGGAGGATGTTTCAACAGGATGGAAAATGAGGTATGGACCTCTTAGGTCTCACCAATGTTGAGACATGACTATACCATCTACAGCTTTGGTCAATGCAGAATGAGACCAATATGGTGCCTGGAGATGGAAATGCAGAGGGCCTCCACACACTGCTCTGGAACAGTGGGTCAAGAGCTAGGGGCAAATATGGAGCTAAGCTCCATATAAGTATAAGACACAAAATTCATACAACTTAACAATGTAGGCCTTAAACCCAGACCAAGGCCAAAGGGGCTGGCCCTAGCTCTAACTGGGCTATGGGAAAAATAATTTGAAAAACTAAAAAGCAAAATCAATCGTTTCTGGATTCCTAATAATTAGGGAATAATTGGGGCCTTCTAGTATCTGTTTCCTTATAAAAGCGTATGCTGGGAAATCTTTTTTGTGGGCTTATTTTTTTAAAAACTGAAACTTAAAAAATCTTTCATTTAAAAAATAGAATCAATGTGCATTAAATAAAAACTGATATTAAGGTTATTGAAAATATAAGGTTGTACAAATTATCATTAAATTATTTGACGACCTCTAAATCCAGGGTACCTTGCCCTTATTTCATAACAACACAGTGGGAGAAATCAGCATTGTAATCACACCCTTTACCCTTCCATGGCACCCAGATGATGAGTCGGCAATAGTGTACCCAAAAGCAGTATGTTAAAATACATTACCTCAAGCTTGTGAGCCCTTTCCCTGCTCAGGGGCTCCAAAGGAAAGCTCAGGTTATTTGCTTCTGCCAGAGAACGAAGATCAAAATAATACTTGGCATAAACACTGGAAGGAACATTGATGTTGAACTGGAGCAATTCAAGAAACTGTCGCTCTAGCTCATTCCTGCAAAGACAAAAATTGCACACATTTAGTTGCCATCCTAGGCTGTATGGCCTGCCAAGGCAAGCTGCTGGACACAAGACTCCAGAAAAGTGCATCCTCAGGAAGAAAAGCCATGTAATTAATTACCTGGTTGGACACCAGAGTTGCAGTTTAACCACCAAATTGGTATTAGAAGCCAAATCCACTTAATTAGGTGCCCACAAGGATAAGGCCTGATTAATTGGGGTGAATATTTCAGGGTAATTTGTTTCACCGAGACCTAACACACACATACCAGGCTCTGGCTGCAAATCTCAGCATGCATCATCAGCTCAGACACGGGGCAGAAGAAGCAGTCAAGAGCTGTCAAGTGGAGTCTAGTGAGCAACCAAGATCACAGCCTAGAGGAAAGGCCTCTGCTAGACACAGAGGATGCCCTCCCTCAATGCCCTTTATCCACCTCCTTGACAAGAGAGTTCCTCAGGCAAAGGAGGGAGGAAAGTGAATCGCAGCCTAGCCAGCCTCTCTCAAAGAGAACTCATCAACTCCGCAGAATGAAAGCCATAGTTCCCAAATCTGAGCACCCACCTAATCACCTGCAGACAAAGAGCTGCATACAGATAGCTAGGCCCACCCTTGTCTCTGATTCAGCAGGTCTGGGGTGATCCTGAGAATGTGCACTTCTAACAATTTCTAACTGGATGCTGACCACACTGTGAGAACCACTCAACCATAGAGAGTGGTCAAGGAGCAAACACATGTTAAGATCCATATTTTGATGAAAACTAATTGATAGATAGCCACAGTAAATTTTAAAACTTTTACTTTGAGAATGCCCACATGTCAGTTATCTTTTAAATTAGGTCTATTTCCCTACAGTTCCTACCTATGGGATGAAAAGCCCTCCGTGGTCTGTTCTTGAGCACTGATCCTGGGCTGGGCACTCAGTTTCAGTGCTCCCCCCTCCCGCCAGAAGTACACTGTGCCCCTAAAGCACACTACACAGTGCTGTATTTCTGTCCTTCCTCACACTCTACTGTAAATGTTGCCTTAAGTCAGTTTCCCCTACTTGTCTCCTCAGAGTTAGAAACCATGACATCTAATTTCACATGCCCAGCCCCTCGCACAGTATCTGACAGAGTTGGTGCTCAATGATTACTGTTAGGGAAGGCAGCAACTAAGCTCAGCCGGGCAGGGGCATGAGGGAAGGCTTCACAGGGATCAGGAAAGTGAGAACTGAATTGAGTTTGGCAAGCATGGAGGGCTGGTGGAGAGAACAAGGGCTGGGGTTATTTCCAGTAGTGGGGACCACTCAAACCACCCCCAAGACCACAGGAGCACAGAAAATGTTGTCATCATCTCCTGTAAGTGGAGCTGAAGGCTGACAAGCCCAGTCCCCAGTGCTAGGCCTTACCCCTGTTGGCCCAGCCTCTGCATCTCTCCTGAAACACCGAGTCCCCAGTTCTGGCCCCTGTACTCAGGCCATCAGAGACCAAGGAGGACTATACCCCAGTCTCATGATGCTGTGACAACAAGGGATAGGAATGCTGAGCAGATGAGCAGAAAGGCTGGGATGTGAGCAAGGTGAGTGGCTTTAGAGAAGGAAGCTACTGGGCAAGTCAAAATGAAGAAACTTCAGCAAGTTGCTATCGAAGGCCTGAATGTCTCAGATGGAAAGACCAAGAAGTCACACTTAGGCCCTGACCGGTTTGGCTCAGTGGATGGAGCGTCGGCCTGCAGACTGAAGGGTCCCGGGTTCGATTCCAGTCAAGGGCATGTACCTTGGTTGCGGGCACATCCCCAGTGGGAGGTGTGCGGGAGGCAGCTGATCCATGTTTCTCTCTCATTACTTTGCTTTATTTGGAATGATTTTTAGTTATTTTTATTTTATGTTTTTAGAGAGAGAGAAAGAGGGGGGGCCTGACCAGTGTTGCTCAATGGTTGAGCACTCACCTATGAACCAGGAGGTCACAGTTCAATTTGGAGGCAGCCGATCAATCATTCTCTCTCATCATTGATGTTTCTCCCTCTCCCTCTTTCTTCCTCTCAGAAATCAATAAAAATATATTTAGGAGAAACCAAGATGGCGGCATAGGTAAACACCGGAAATTGCTGCCTCCCACAACAAATTCAAAAATACAACTAAAAGACAAAACGGACATCATCCAGAACCACAGGAAGGCTGGCTGAGTGGAAATTCTACAACTAGAAGGAAAGAGAAAAGCACACTGAGACTCAGAGGAGGTATGGAAGTAGAGTGCAGAGGTATGGAGGTGCACACAGAAAGGGCTGGCAACTGAGGACATGGTTGTCTTTTTCAATCGGGAGGAAGTCTCAAGCTCCAGACTGCTCTGAACTCCAGTTCCGGGTGAGTCTCTGGGGACCCAGACTCATACGGGAGAAACTGGACTGTCTGGCATCGGTTGGAACTCGAGGGAGGCTTTCTCTCAGAGGTGCTTGCAGCAATTATGGGGAGACTGAGAAGCGGGGCCTCTTAGGGTAGGACTGAGGATCAGACATAGCTGCTTGCTCTTCCATGTTGATCCCCTGAGACCCCGCCCCACCCAAGCTGTGTGCAGAGGCTTTTGCATATGAATGGCCTGGCCCTTTGCAATCTAATATTACCTAACAAACTGCAGCTGGGTCAGAGAGACCCAGAACATCCAAAAGAAGGCCCAAGGCCCCACAGCAGCTTGCATTGCTTCACAGCTGGGCCTCATCTGGGCACCTCCAAACCTCCCAAAAAGGAAGGGGAATCTGCAGATCGCTTCGTAGCTCCTGCTGGGTAGCCTCAGGAAGAGGCTAAATTAGCACCTCCTTAGA